TGCATATCCTGTTAGCTGAGATAAAGTGTCAGTCATCCTGTCCAGGTCAGCTAAAGGCTTGTGTCTACACCAGCAACTAACTAGCTTTGCTTGTCCTTCAGTTGCCCTGACAGAAATCAGGAGGGATCATTCTGTTTTTGTTTTGTTTGGTTTGTCAGAATGAGTCCCTGATTATTATAGTTTCCCGGAAAGTCAAATGCGGCAGAAATGTACGAATACTAAAGTTTATATTTAATATTAGTTTACTAGTGTTACAAAAAAAGCACATTTAGTTTGACTTTTCTTAAAACTACCTTTCTGTTTGAATATAATTGCACTCAAGCAAAAGAGGAGAAATACTTTCTGTTTTCTGGTTAAACATAAGAGAAAAAGAGCAAAGCTGCAGCTCAGACATAAACCTCATCGATATTAAATAATAATTTGCTGCCATCCTGTGGCGAGATTTGAGTTTGACGTTTTAGGCCAAACTCGGATTAAAGAAACAACTATAACTGCAAGATGACAGTAAATAGTAACGTGTAATATTTCTTTTTTTTATTTGCATTTAATATGCATATTTAGTTTTACTCTTAGGATTGATTTTTTTTATCTTTAATCCAAGGATTATAAAAAGAATCAATTGATAGTTAAGAGTTGAATTGAGCACAAGATATTTTAGACAAAAGAAGAAAATAATAATCAGCTGTTTATTAATTTATTAAATTTGACCTTATGTCTAATAGCATGTGAAGATTGCTCACTTTCAGACTTAAACTTAAAGGTAATGAATACTAAAATTTACAAATAATTTGCTGAAGATTTAAATGTGTAGCGGGACCTCACGTCTCTTTTTCTCCAGAAGAAATTAATTAAACAATAATTTTTCGGTTAATTAGTACATTTTGTCTGAAAGAAACTTGTTTTGGAAAAGCATCACTCCATTCGTTCGAGTTGTGTTCGTGTGCCATTCTCAATGTGGCGACAACGTTGACGTACGAACGCCGTCATTCGCTCTTTGACGACCATTGTTTTGGTTACACAAACGTAAGCTGATTTTGACCCTCGGCAGCTTCCGTCATTGTTTGGTGAAGGCAGTCGGGCAAGTTGACAGGGACGCCTAACAAGTATGTACTTCTTTTAACGCGTTTAGTTTGCATGACTAGCGTTAGGAAATGTTTGTTGAATATAATGAGGTGTTGTTTTGATGTTTTGAGCATAAAAACCGGACCGAACAAATTAGCAACCTGTCGGCTAACCGTAGCTAACAGCTAGCCGTGTAGGTGTTAGCTACTTGTCTTTGCTGTGTTTTTTGAGACTGATTTATTTTCTTTTAAATATTAGAACAATCTTAAATGTGTTCGTGATAAAATTCATACTATTAGTTTGCTTTTAACCTGTCTTTTGACAAATAGACTCTTATTGCATCATGCCTCGCTATGGTTGCTAGTTAGCCATGTTAGCACGTTGAAGGTGATGACAATCATCTCATCTGAAGCTTCGTTTTATGTATAATTTGCTATATCTATATTTCTGTTAACTGTATAACAGATCGAAAGGTGAAGGCGGGAAGACAGAATGTCAAGCAATGTAAGTAGCTTATTTTCACCTTAATTATGTCTTAAATTTATTAACTGTGGATTTCAGAGATATGGGTGATATCAAGAGGTCTGCAAAGAATAAAATAAAAAGATGAAATATATTTGAAGTAATTCAAACATATATGAATTAGCAGCATGATTACTTGGGAAAATATTTCAGATTATTTGTCTTTAGTTATGTTTTATGACGTTGCTCTGTTGCAGGTGCTGTGTGGTCGAAGCAGGTTGATCCTGTCTCAGACCGCCGGCCGACATGCTTTGACTTCTTTTAGGGTTGGAAGAAGCAGGACTTTCTCAGCCGCTGGCTCTGATGAGCCGTACATCACCGTGTCGCCCACAGACTCAGGTGAGACATGGCGAGTCAAATAGGATGTGGGTCTGGAAGTTGATTTCTAAGATTAACAGTTCTGTCTGTGACTGCAGGCCCCAGGACTGTGTGGCCTGATGAGAGCATGGGACCATTTGGACCTCAGGACCAGCGCTTCCAGCTGCCAGGTAACGTCGGGTTTGACTGCCACCTGGAAGGCATGGAGAACCAAAAGAAGGCTCTCGTTCACAAGACAGTGCCTGACGTTCTCACGACTCCAAACAGCATGGAGAGACACCAGTTTATTCTGGCCCAGTTCGTCAACGAGTTTCATGTGAGTAGTAACCATTGTGCCTCTCTGATAACACAGTCAGGGTGTGCTATGACTAAAAAGTTAGTCATGCTGATCCTAGAGCATTACTCAAACCTACATTTTTGGATGTATTTGTTTAATTAACACTCCTGATATGTTCATTCGTTTGTGTACTTGCCATTTGGTCACTGAAGTTTCTTGTGAAAAAAGAAACGTAGAGAGGAAATGGAACTTCTTTTCAGTCTTCACTCCCTTAAAGCGTAAAAATAAAATTAAAAAGTTGATCATTAGAACTTACACATAGATATTGAACTTTGTTCAACTGAAAATGTATTAAATGGCTAAGTAAATTAACGTGTCAGAATTTATTTGGAAAATTTTAATTAGAGGAGACTAAGATGGCTGAATGTCTTCAAACTTAGCAAATGCTAAAGCACTAAACAAAAAGTTAACTCTATTAGCAACTAGCAAAAGTGTGCTAACAGCCAATAACTGTTAAATATACTGCTTCATATAAAGAGTGAACACCAGAAATAATAAGTATTATGTAAAATACAAACTTAACTTTAGTAAAACGTTTTCACGTCAACACATGCAGATTTTATTGCAGGAAAAAGCGATGTTACAAAGAATTGACTCAGCAGGTTTGAATAAAGATGCAAGCCACACTTTTAATATTTTTATTTGTGAAAAAAATATAAAAATCCACTACCTGTAACTTTAGAGACATGAATACATTTACATTCATCTCTGATTTTTTGTACAATTTGTTCTACAGGAAAAACTGGGCCCTCTGTCCACAAGAGTCCACAAAGCCGAGCAGTACTTCAACCAGACAGACACTGACTGCTCTGTGAGCTCCTGCCCTGAGCTGCTAAAGAAAGGTAAGAGAACATTAAGCCTCTCACAACAAGCAATAAACCAATTAATTACATGATAGTTTTTGGTTACAGAGACTTTTTAATTATTGTTTCATCATTTACTTTGGATAATTAAAATGTTTTACAATTCCGGTGTCTTAAATATTCTTCAGAAATTAAAGTCTGAGGGGCTGTACTTGCCTTAATTATTACTATATTTGTTGAAAATGGTCTGAAAACAACAATACAATTGTTTATTGCAATAAATTAGTTATAGAGACAGGCCTACAGCTGCCTTTGAATTTCAGTAACTAATCTGTCTGTCTCAGAACTGGAGCTAATGTTCCCCTCGGCACCGACGGCCTCCATCACGGTGGTGACGGTAACCCAGAGGTCCAGTCATCAGCTCGACGGAGCAGCAGAACCGGACAGAGACCAGCTGCTTCATAAAGTGAGTCTTTATTTAGCTTAGTTTTGGAAAAATGAGGAGGTGGCTGTAGACTGAGAATATGTCATCACTGCAGTTTGTGAGCGGGGCGAAGGAGATGTGTTTCGCCCTGTGGACGGCGGGATACTGGGCTGACTTTATTGACCCGACAACAGGAGAAGCTGTAAGTATTGAAGCACACATAATATAAAAAGTTAGATAAAACAAAAACGCTGGAGCTCAGTTTCTAAAAACAGTTTCAGTAACATAAGTTCTGTTCATCCTTTCATCCATAAATTAGTTTTTTCACCATTTCAGCAGTTTTTTTAAAGCTTGAATTTGAAGGATAAAAAAAACACAAACTGTAAAAAAAAAAAAAAAAAAAAAAAGCCAGCTGAGTTGAAAACATGGTTTGATAAGTTTATAAGTTATTATTATTGGCAATCAGATAAACAGTAATGTTAAGTTTTGCATAAATGGAGTTGGAATTGATTTAGTTTGAGACTAAATTTGTTGGGATTGTTCTAGTCAGTAAACTAAATTGGAAGCCTTCTATTGAATATATCAGACATGTAGTTGCAAATACTATTGGAATATTGAAATCTGGAGAAATGGAAGTACAACAACCATTGATATATTAAAGTTGCAAAAAAAAGCTTTTATGGTTTTCAATATAGTGTGATATTATGAACCAACTAATAAACTCTTTATACTTTAAAATTTAAAGATATTGTACATGTAAAATGTATGAAGGGTTGAATGAAAGTCTCCCTTCTGCTACTCAGAAATTATTTTTGTTTAGACAGAATAAATCTAATTTGAGTCAGGTAAAGTCTAGTCTCTGTTGATAACTTACCAAAATGAAGTGAAGTGAACTGACTATGATTTTCTAAATGTGTTTTCCCACAGTTCTTTGCATCTCCATCGTCTGCGTTGGCTTTGCGGCCAGAGGAGCAGCTCAGACATTTGGGGTTTCACATCGAAGTGTCGGGCTCCTGCACCGTCATTCGCCACATCCTCAGGGGAACGCCTTTGTTCGTGGGGACCGTTTTCACCAGCGCACCTGCTGACAGCGCTGCTGTAACGAGACTTCAAGGACTATCGAATGGATTTGATGAAGAAGAATAGGCTTATTTTTAATATTAAACACTAGGAGATTTGCACATGGATGCCTCTAATCGTGGTGTGAGATGTTTTGATTTTGGCTCGGCTGTGTGATAAAACTCTGGGTCTCTGTGAGAATATGTCAGTGTTAACGACGTCACACCCTTCACTACATCCAGGGCGAACCTGCGCTCCAAACATCAACTTTGCAATATGTTCAATCTGTAGAAAGTGTTGATATTTTTAGAGAATATCTGTATTTATGAAATTCCCAGGTGAGGAACAAGAACCAGCCTCAAACGACATGAACACGTTCGTTGGAACGACATCGAGTCGTAATGCACTGCAAATAAAATGTTTTTCTTTCAGGCTGGACTCACTTTATTTCCAGGAAGCAACTATTAGATCCACAGGTGGTTTTAGAAGTTTATTCACAGAAAAATGTGACAAAATTTCAACCAAAATGCATAAAAGTTAATTAAGAGTTACAGAATAAAGCTTCCACAGCTGAACAGCAAAGAACAAAACAATAAGTTGTTTTCTTCCTGCACAGTGATTTTAAGTGTATCTGAACATCTTAAATATGCTCATACTTTCAGTCACAGATCTAAAATAGCACTAAATTATACCTTGTTCATGTCAGTTGATAAATATGATTTGTAAATTGGTAAAATGAGGCATGTGACTGAAGATATTTTCCTAAATTGTTCTGTATTTAGTTTAAAATTAAACGACTTTAATGGTTCAAGACTTTACTCACAAGCTCTGTTTTGATTTCTTATAATACATGTTGCCTTGGAAAATAATTCAAACCCCTTTCAAGCATTTTTTTTTAAATTAAATTTTGTTCTCTGACAACCAGAAGCTATTAAAATTTTCTTGCTTATGCTTGAAAAGTTCGAGATGCAAATGTATTCCACACTTTTCTCAAATGTATAAATAACAAATAGCAAAGTACTTGTAACATTTGTACAATATTTTGTGTTGAGCTTCTCCTCTGGGTAAAACATCATTCAAATTACATTTGTAGTTCATTTTATTAAAACAAAAAAAACCTGCAAAGAAAATAAAGTGATTCATTTTTAAATATTCAACATACATAATGGTTAAAAAGCGCTACATAGTCGTCTGTAAGCTTAATAAACTCCAAGTTTAAAAGGTATTTTGTGTGTTAAATGATTTGACTTCTTAAATGTGTCCAGCAGCTGCTGGCAGTGATGAGGGTGATGTAACGTAGTGCAGCGGGATGCGGCGTGCTGCCTGCGCCGACCAGAGGCCCCGTGGAGGAGAACACGGCGCCGCTGGCGTTCCTCGGCACCAGCACATTGCAGATGTTTCCCTGGCAACAGGACGTGCACACCTGCAGCAGGTGAGGACAGAGTTGGATCATCCACAAAGCTGTGACTGGTCAGAGTTGGACAGTAATTAGTTACAGTTACTGGAGTAACTTATTTTGAAATAGTTTACTTTTAGGAGTATTTTTACTACATAATTTATTATGAAGTATTTCTACTCTGACTTGAGTAAAAGTTCTGGGATTTTCTGCCCACTGAATGAAAATTCACCAGACACAGACACACACCTGCAGTTTTTAAAGTTTTTTATTGAAAGAAACTGATTTGAAAGAATTTCTTTTTTCATTCTTAAAATTCCTAAATTTCCACTTTATATTTTGATCCATCCGATGATGTAATTTTTAAATATTAAATGATAATTTGATTAGTTACTCGGGACATTATTGGACCTTTCACCAAATACTGTTTTACTGACAGGTAATTTCTTCACAGCTACTTTTTGCTTTTACTTTAGTGCATAAATTATATTGATGTAGTGCTACGTTTACTTGAGCACATCTGAATTTCACCTGGAAGCCGTTGTGAGTGATGTTGACGCAGCCGGCGAAGCGGCAGTGCTCCAAGGTCGCGCAGCGCTTCGTCACAGAAACGCTGTCGCCATGGTTATTCATCATGTGGAGCGTGTAGCAATAACTGGTATCTGGAAGAAAACTCTTCTGATTATTATCAGTGGGCAGTAATTAGTTTAGCTGGTCAGCTTCAGGTTGACTTCCTGTTGGCTTATTTTATGAATATTAAAAGAAGAAGCTGATTTACCCTTTGGACAGTAAACATCTGGAGCCCAGCGGTTGCAGTCGTAGTTATCTGCAGCGTCCTGACATGTGAAACATTTGAAACCACCTGGATGAGGTGTGGCTGCAGAGGACAGGCAGACAACATCTATTTTATCAGGAAGAAAGTACTGTATTCATATTAAAAAACTAATTTAATACTATGACATGAATATAGCCCTGCAGCAGTTATATCAACACCAAATAGTACAGAATGACTGAGGATGGATGGTACGGTGAATTTTTTGGGGGGGTATTGTGGTAAAATTAGCTGAAAAGAAATGAAAGAAACACTTAAACTGTTTGTAGTTTTGCTACAAAACATGAAAAAGGAATTTTGCATTTGAGCTCTTCGTCTGTGGTTTCTGCAACATTCCTGCTGCTAATTTAAACATGATTATCCAGACTGTATACAACCATTATCATACTGAAAAATGAGCTAAAATCAGTCATGAACTTAGTGATAATATTGGATGTTTTACATGTGTAGCTATAAAACAATTTAAAACTTTAAAAAATAGACTTCTTGCAACTAATTAACAGAATTTTACGGTTACAAAAAATGCCAGCAAGCTAAAAAAAATGTTTTCAAGATCAGTACCATTACAATACTGCATAAACTCGTAACATTTACCACGTGAGCTAAAAACGACCTAAGTAAATTAAAGTTATTATTGTGTTAGGAGTCTCTGAATAAATAGGAAGCTTGAATAAGTAATGTAACTGCAGCCGATCAGCAGGATTCAACGTCGCGGCCGTACTTGAAGGATGCAGCTGAATAATGTCCTTCATGCTGAAATCCCGTGACTCTGCGGTTTCCGTCCACTCAGAAACTGACATCAGCATCAGAATCCAGGCCACAGCTGGCCAGGCGTCCATCATGGGTCTGCATCAACGCTACGCGCCGTGTCAAACGCTAAAACAGAGAAATGTGTCACTAAGCAGCAGCCAGAGTTAGTCTCGGTTACTAACTGATTAGTAACCAACTGATATTGTGACACAACCTTTAAATATTTGCTTTAGGTTTTCATAAAATGCTACATTTAATAACATTTGATCCAAAACAAGAGGCTTTGTGAGGCTAATAAAGGGGAGTAAGAGCTATATTGCAAAACTGGGCATGTTTGATAGTTAATAAATTACAGAAAAATGCTCATCATAATTAATATGCCTGATTAATTAATTTACGTCTGGGATCAGTGAAATATTTCTTAATTTGAATAATTTAACCTCTTGTGTTAGCAGTATGTTAATATAATTCAGTGGGAGGTTTTAAAAGGAAAAATTCACAAATTTACAACATAAAATAAATACCTTAATTGAAATTTAAAAACAGTTTTTCCTTCTGCTGCTATAATAAAATAACTATTTATTATTACTGTAGTGATATTAATGCTCTTTTTAACATCTATTTTGACTTTGATATTTAGTTGCAGAAATTATTCTCATTTCAAACAATTGTTGAGATTTAAATTAGGTACAACTTTATCAAATTTAAAAACATTTTCTATAGCAGGAAATCCTCTACTTGTTTCCAACATGAACTGACTGAACACAGGGTTTCCTCTACTGTTTTATAAGCCTGGCGCACCACCAGGCTTTATTTGTGCCGCACCAGGCTAATCGTTATATTCGTATTTAGTATTAGTATTTGTATTAGTAATTAGTATTTTCTTTTAGTTTTAGCCAGAGCTGCTCTCCACGGATCCTCTGAGACGTCAGTCACTGAATTAAACACCAGCTGACCTGGTTTTACCCCCTTTTACTCAGATTAGCAGATTTGTGTAAGATCAGCTCTGAGCTCAGATGCCTAAGACTCCACTTTGTTCTTTATCCCCAGGCTCTGTGCCAGGCTGGGTGGGTATAAATGCTTGTTTTCTTTGCATTAAACATGCTCCAGTAAGACTGATCCATTCTTTCGCTGAATACTGTTCTATCCTGTTCATTCACATCTGATCCACTTTAACCACAGATGTGCTCATTTTAAACCCAATAAACAAATTATGCAATAAGAATAATATTCCTTGCATAATACTTAATGTGAACGGCAACACAACTGGATCTGAAAATCTGTAATTTTGTCACTGACAGTATTAAACGGTAGCTTTTTTAGAAAAAAAAAAAAACTTTCTTGATATCCGCTAAAGGACGTTTACACAAACTTTTCACAATAAAATATAATCATTCAGCAAACAAAATTCTACTTTTTAATACAAATATGCTAAAAAGATTTGAGATGTTAGAATGGTCTACTAAAAGTCCAGACTTAAATGCAATAAGAAATTGTTGATCAGGGGTGATCTCCATCCAGTCTAATTGAAAGAAATCGGTGAGCCTCTAAATGTGCAAAAGGCTGAAACTGCAGGAAAGTATTGATAATGGAAACTAAGAAGTTGGAAAACATGCATTTATTCACCAATTTTTAATTAAAATATGACAAAATCTGGAGAATTTTAAGGGTTTAAAGTGGAAGTTTATTTTGCGAGATAGTCAAATGTTGAAGCTTTTATAGGAATGTATAGAAAATTAGATTAATATGTGGAGCAGATGTTTAATAAAGAAAAGGACTGACTAAACACCCAGAGGATCCTGCAGTCAGTTCACGATGCATTCACTGTCTCTGTTTTAACGAATGTTATTTTTTCAAAGATACATTTTCTTCCTACTGGAAGTTTTGTGATCTTTACAGAACAAAATATAATAGATTTAAGATACAATTTTACATTTATTTTAGTGACTTTTACAAAAATGTAAAATATATTTCCCCATTTGAACCATTCATGTTGTTTGTAAAATCATTTAAATAATCTAGAAGTGGATTCAAAAAAGATTCCTAGATCAGATGTGGATAAATATTGGTTAAATTAATTGTAATTACTTAATTTTACATGGCATTTAAAACTAACCTCCATCAAGAAACATTTTTGTTTCTTTGTGATTTTTATTTGCAACATTTAACTACTCCTTTGGACTGTCGTGATCCACAGGAGGAAGAATCGGTGTAGATTTCCATTGTTGCTTTAGCTTTTTAACAATAAATAATAATTTTGTATGTATTTATTTAAAGGATTAAGACCCAAATGCACATCTTCCTGCTTCACTGACCCAGTACAGTCAATCAACGCGCTCCATCGCTGAAGCTGACACCGACCCGTGTGTCAAGTGTGAATGAACAAATTTGTTAGATGAAGGCTCCGTGATTTGTGTCAGAAGTAAACTCCGTCAAAACCTCGACCACCGGGTCTGGCTTTGATGCTCGGCGGCTTTGCTCTGCAGACCAGACACACATGGCATGAGCTTAACACTCCAGCCATACTGCTGCTTTTGTTTGATTTTTGATCTCAGCTCAGAATCGAGAAGGAAAAGGGTTAGCGCGTCGAGCCAAAAAACACAGCTTCCTAGGCTGCTTTGTGTGGGCATTGCTGAGTCATTTCTCGACTGTAACACTTTTTATGGGATCCTCAGGAGGCTCTGTGCCTCATAAAATGTTTCACATCTTAATAAAATAGTAACAGCAATCCAGTGGATGAATCACATCCTGTTGGAAGCTGGATCAGTAAACGGTAAGGTAACCTCAGCTGAAGGGTTATGAGGACGGGAACAAAAGCTCCTGGAAGAGCCTGGCTCGAACGCATGCTGGGAATGTCTGGGTTTGTTCCTGAAAGCTTTCCATTTCAAAAAAGAAATCCCCACACCATGATGCTGCCACCACCATGCATCACTGGAAAAGGCTTTGTTTACTTGTACAAGAGTAATTATTTGTAATCCTTTTTATCAAGTTTTATCACCTAAAATCTCAGGAACATATATTGTTTCAGTCTGCAACACAAAAGGATGTGAACGATTTAGCAAGTTTAAATTATACAAATACACTGTTACTAATTTGCAGGCAAGGGTTGAAAATTGGCCGCAGAAGTCGTTTTTGTCTCCTTCTGTCGTTTTTTAACTAACTTTATGCTTTACGATTGAACGTAACTCATCCCCATTAGTTTAACAAAAACAAAACAGAACAAAAAAAATGAAATGGGATTGATTTGGATTGTTGATATCCAAAATAAACGCACTCAATTCAATGCTCACAATAGCAGCAGCAGCGCTCCTTTCAAATCGAGCGCTGCTGCGTCCAGAACCAGCGCAGATCGGATTTACACGAAGTTGATCGTAAAATCACGACTTTCTAGCACCTGATAGTTCAGAGCAGAAACAAACTAGATTTGGAGATGAAACTTACCAGCTTCGGTTCCTGCAGCAGATTCAACGAGACGGAGATGGAGACAGAAACTGCCGCTCCGTGTGGATGTTGGAGCTTTTTAGATTGGAGAGCTGCTGCGTCACGGAAACGTAAAGGATGTTAACTCCCCCCTGTCAAAGGGAGCTAATGCTGCTGCTTTGTCTGTTTTTTCGCTGCGTTTTGAGCAAAATTAGGCGAAAAGCGCCGCTTTATGTCCTTCGTGTTGCGGTAATCTATTTGTATAGACGGAAACCGATAACTGCGGCCGCGGGCACGTTTTAATTGGGGCCCATAATGACAAGTAAATAGATGTTGTTTTTAAAGAGGAAAAAAGGCATATTTACAAAAAAGAAAAAAGATATTTCATGCAGCCATACAATATGAAAACAATTACAGAAAAAATAAAAAATATGTAAACACTTAGTATTTAGGAATATTTTTCTTTTTTTAAGTAAATATCTGCACCTTTCCTATTTCTTAACACATACAATTAAACACATGCAACATCTACATCGCCATTATAACTTAATACAATAATTTAAGTATAAAAAAAGTTACATTTTGGTTAAATATCAAAACAATATTTTAATTGTATTTCATTAAAAGTACCATTTTCCATTACATAATGTAATGGAAAACATTTTTTCTCCAGAATCTTTGTTGTCTGCTCCCCCAAAATAAAATTACCTTTCAAGAAATAAAAGTTCATGATGTGAAATTGTATTTCAGATAAAAATATCTTAAACAAGAGTTTCTCAGTATAAAAATAAAGCTTCACATCATCTGTTAAAGCAAATGTGTTGCTCGCTTATTCACATTCCTTGGCTGAAAGACACGAAGCCAAGTCATCATGTTCAGCTCCCATCAGATAAATGTGAAGGAGTGCATATCTGAAAGGGGCCATACAAGAAGTCATCAGTGACAGGCTGCAGCCCTCTGACCCCGCTGGATATGCGATCCCTCACAGGAAAGACAAGGAAGAAGACTGCAAGGTCCTGAGAGTCGAGTCAGACAGAGGAATGTTAGTGGGGTGACTGCACAGATGTGCATTAATATACAGACATATGGTCAGACCTGGTACACAAACAAAACTGTTGTACTGAGAAAAAATTTCAGCTATGAAATTTAAAAATCTAACTGCAACCTCTGCAAAATATTTGCACTAAAAGGGCTTGTGAAGTTTTAAATAGTTTTACTGTCATAATTATGACTGATATTAAAATGTATGTCTGTAATTATATTTTGAGGGTTAAGACTTTCCGTGCAACATGATAAAAGTCGCCTGAAAGTGTTTATAGGTTTGTTTTTAAAGCGCAAAATCGCCTAATGGTAAATTTCTGTTGAATTCAACACCTGGCCTGTAGAGGGCAGCAGCTCCCGTTCCCTACCCAACATCTACCGTAAATCTCCCAAAAACAAACCAGAAGAAGGTCGCCATCTTTGAAATTTGCAGCAGGTTTGTCGCAGCGCAATATTTGAATTAAGTTCGGTTTAATTTACATAACAGTGACATAAATTGCATGGCCAACCGAAGTATGCACCAAGCGACGATGCCTGGTGCTAGTTCTCCTCAGCCAGGGAGGCGAAGAACGGACTCCCCGGCCTCGGAGTCGACGCCGGCTAACAAAGGCAGCCCGGCCCCGCCGCAGCAACAGTCTCCCGCGGCCGAGCAAAGCGAAGGAGCCGCGGAGGAAACGGGGGAAGGCCCGTCGAAAATGACTCTGGATTTGGCAAGTTTTCGGAAGCCCGGAGAGAAAACGTTCACCCAGCGCTCCCGTCTCTTTGTCGGGAGCCTGCCGCTGGATATCACGGAGGAGGATTTTAGGAACCTGTTCGCTAAATATGGGAACATTAACGAGGTGTTCATCAACAGGGAACGGGGGTTTGGATTCGTTTGCTTGGTACGTTCATTGCTGCACCTGCAACTTGATGTTGGCCCTGTTTTTAATAAGTATTCTTGTTTAAACTAATTTGTATGTTTCTCCGCCTTTTATTGGTTATTGAGATTAATAGCATTTGAAGTCAAAACACCATGAACTTTTTATCCAGTATGAATTTTGTTCTCACAAGTTTGACCCGGAAGTGACCCACGCCATCTTAGTAGGCAAGCGCATGCGCCATACATTCAACGAACAAAAATGTCAAAATAATGTTTTGATGGGAAACAGGCTAGTGCTAGTTCTTTGTTGTCATAGCAACTCCATCGCAACTGCCTGCCAAAATGGCTGCCAATTATAAAGTTCAGAGAAGAGTGAGATCACATGAGACCTGAGTATTTCAAATATTTATTATTATTCGTTTTATGATTAATGCATACTATTTACCTAAGTTGTTGTTGAAATGTTTAACTTTTTAAATAATAATTATAAGTATTATAAGTTTACAAAAATATTTTAGAGTTTAAAAGAAGATTTTAAAATGTTGAAACAATATATTAATTTTATAATTTATTTGTGTTACTCTTCGAAAATAAATGATTTATCATATGTTGCAGACATTCATCAAAGTGAATTTACTCGTAAAAACAAACTTTTATCTTGTTATAAAAAAATTCTAAAACTGCTCGACATTATTTTTGGTATAAAAAGTCTGTTATAATTAGTTGATTGCCGCTTTACAAAGTTGATTTGGAGGTTCAGTTTCAGGGGCTTGTTATTGGTTACCCTGAATGCTAATAATCTTTTGTTTTGCAGGAAACCCGAACTCTGGCGGAGATTGCTAAAGTCGAGCTGGACGGGTCGGTTCTGAACAACAGAGCACTAAAGGTCCGCTTCGCGACGCACAGCGCTGCACTCAAAGTTCGCAATCTGCTGCCAGTAGTGACAAACGAACTCCTTGAAGAAGTAGGTTAGAGGTGAAACTGAACACAAAATAATGCAACCAGCTTGGCAACCATAGTTAATTAAAAAAAAAACAAAATCTTGTGTGTATCCTCAGGCGTTTTCTCAGTTTGGACCTGTGGAGCGGGCTGTAGTTGTGACAGACGACCGCGGCCGTTCCACGGGGAGAGGCATCGTTGAGTTTGCAAGCAAAGTTGCCGCCCGTAAAGCCCTGGAGCGCTGCAACGAGGGAGCCATGCTGCTGACGACGTAAGCGTTGTTAAACAGACTGAAAACTCTTCATGTCTCTTTCAGTTTCAGATTCTCACACTGTATAAATGAATGAACTCTAGAGAAATGAAATACAGGATTTGTGCAGGTGCTTCAATATAAATTAGGTGTTTCAAAGATTTGGAAACAGCTCAGTTTTGAAATGAAGTACAAGCTGAAGTTTGAGAAAAACTTAAATTTGGAAAACCTTATTTTCTGTCGAAACTAGATATTTAAGTGATATTTGAAGTTAAATCAGATTCAACTTTTCTTGTTTTATATCAGTTAGGATCACCAAAATTATTTCTTTTTGCAAAATGTGAAACAACTTAGCAGAGACATTATTTAGAACCTTACTTTGTACCCTTCTTTGTGTACTGTGTGTTTGCATTTAATTTGAGCAGGAAGGTAATTTCCCTTCACATGACTTGTTTGGGTTGTTCAAATGTAATAATAATTATCTATTATTGAATTATAGAATGTGGGGTATATTTTTTGTTAAATAAATGTTTTGTTCTTGGATCAGTCAGATGTCCAAGGTGTGGAGAGAGAAACATTTCAAAACAAAAAAAAATATTTTAGTTTTCTTTTCCTCTGCTTTATAATGTAGAATACTGTCACAAGACATTATTAACAGTGATAAATGATACGTAATGGTGAACTGAAGCTGTAATTTTTTTAGTTCTTTTGTGTTGTTTTTATCTCCAATGCGTGGTGTTGGAAAAGTGCTTTAATTTGACTGGGAAAAGTGAAAATGGAGGCTAAAACATGTCATGTTGACAATCTTATCTCAGTACTCCATGCCCCACCATCGTTGAGCCAATGGAGCACCTGGACGATGAAGATGGTCTACCTGAAAAGATTCTTCCAAAAACTCCAAAGTATTACAAGTAAGCAATATTTATTTATCTATTTATTGATTTATTTTGGTTTATGTTGCGTCTGCGATTACACCACTTTTTTATTCTGCCAGAGAGCGAGAGCAGCCGCCCCGATTCGCCCAGCCTGGCACATTCGAGTTTGAATACGCGTCTCGCTGGAAAGCTCTGGACGAGATGGAGAAGCAGCAGCGGGAGCAGGTCGACCGAAACATCAAGGAGGCCAGAGAGAAACTGGAGGCGGAGCTGGAGGCCGCCAAAAACGAACATCAGCTCATGTTGATGAGACAAGGTGAGAAGCGATGGCTGTTCGTTTGTTTTTCTCTAGAGTGTAACGTTTTAAAACATCCCCCATCTCTTTCCTATCAGATCTAATGAGACGTCAGGAGGAGCTGCGGCGGCTGGAGGAGCTGCGCAATCAGGAGCTGCAAAGACGAAAGCAGATAGAAATGAGGTGAAGGAGAATCTTGAGGAAGAAATTAGCATCTATTCCTATTGGATAATCTTGTTATTTAATTGAATATTGATTTTGTTAAAGCTAATGCTGCAGAAAAGTCTTTCCATTAGCGATGTTTCAGATCAGCTGGTGATAGAAAGCTATATCAGGAAAACAAACCCAGTGAGGGGATTCTCATGCTGCTGTGCTGGTTTTATCGGATTAGTTTGGTTTTCATCTGACCGCTGTGTGTCGTTAGGCATGAGGAGGAGCGAAGGAGGAGAGAGGAGGAGATGATGAGGCACAGGGAGCAGGACGAGCTGAGGCGCCAGCCCGATGGCAGCGGCTTCGTTCCAAACTACCACGAAAACGTGAGTACAAACGCTTTGTCTTCACCAACTCATTCAGAAAAATGAAAGACAGAAAGTCAAAATACACAAATCGTTTTATTATGGCCTGAGTTAGTCATACTGCACAATAAAAGGAATTTTTTATTTACCATGTTATTGACTTTTAACTTTCAATAGACTCTAATGTGAAACTATATATCACATTATCACAGTATTTACACGAGGGGTGGGCATTTATTGTTTAGTATTTACCATTTATTAATATAAATTTTACTTATTGATGTGGGATAAAAAACAGTTTATGATCAAAAATTGTTTTTTTCCTTTATTATTTTCTCCACTTTTTGTTCCCTGAGAACATAAATAAATATCAATAAATTAAGAAATACAACAAAATGCAGATATTGTCTGCAGTTTGGTGATATAAGTCACACTTGTTTAAATGAATACCTAAGATTGACACTCTGCCACGCAGTCACCGTCTCGCAAAACTATTTATTACCTAAAAATAATTAATATTTATTTATCGTCATTGTTTTCACAGCAATGCTGCAAAATTTAGTGCTAAAATCATAAATTTATGTCTCCCAAACTCAGAGTAAAAATGTGTAACATGACCAAATGTCTTTAATAAAATATCATTTATTAATTTTCTATGATCTATAATGTTGTTTATTTGCAAGCTTTTGGTCCCTGCTGTTTGAATTGTGCATAATTTCATTTGGTAATGAAGCACATTCTCAAACATATTTTTATATTATTTTCCCTATTGCCTTTGATGAAAGAGTGTGAAGGTTTGTGACCAGATTCTGTCAGATCAGTTGGCGGTGAATAGCTTTCCCACATATTCAGAGTATTTATCTATTTTTCATAAAATATAGTGAAAATATCAAGAGGAGTTTGTTTCCTATTTAGTTTGTCTTCAATTTAAACCGAACGAGTTTGGTATCGCTTGCAGAAAGGCAGATCTTGAACAAAATATTCTGGTTGGACAAATAAAAGGTGTGATTTTTAGTAAAAACACCTAAATGGTCACTTCCTGCGTATGTTTTCCATTCTCTTTGAAGGAGATGAATTCAGAACTCTTAAATATCTCTGAAAAGTGTAAAAAAAAATTCTGTTAATTTTTGCATTTCCATTTTTTTCCACTTCTGTTTATTATTTGCCTATTTGTTGAACATTTTTTGTTATATTCAGTTTAAATCTCAGTTGCAATTAGCAGCCAGTAGGGGGCGGAAGTGGCGACCCCAAAGCTTTCTTTGCTTGTCCTTTAACTCTTTTTCAAGGTAAACATGCTTAAGCATTGAAGTTATGTAAAATAAATAATAATCTGCTCATATCAACAAAATCTTAACATTAGATTTTGTTGCTCTGGGTTTCTAATACAATTATTCATACTTTATTTATCCTTATATAACTTTTGATCAGGGTTTAATTTGATTTTTCACTAGATTTTTTGGTTTGGTATGAAAGTTTTTCTTCTGACTTAGATTTTTTTTTGTGTTATTTCTGTACATTAGTTATTCTGTGCATTTCATTCACACATATAAGTGATATAACTTCATTTTATACCTTTAACTCTAGCTTTTTCCCTTTAATTTTAAAACACGTTTAACTGACTATACTGATATTTTACACTTGAATGTGTAAAATACAAGTTATGAAGTTAAATCATTGTAATTACTAAGTCTTGTTTTTCATCATTTTGACGATTTGAACTGGAGAATACTTGGTTTTGTTAAGAATTTTCTTATAGCTTTCTGACTTTCTGATATTAATACTTTAATATTACAATGAGACAGTGTCGTGTATTTCTTTATTTTGCTTCAGGGTTAGCTACATTAGTTAAGGTATGAATTAAATATATTCCCAAGTTGTTGTTACAGATAAATTATCAAGTTTTTTCCAGTTATAAAATCTCTTTATTTTTGCATTCAGAAGATTAAATACAAATTAGGCATCACTGACAATTCTATATTTCAGCTGGGGGAAGAAATATAGAATCTCCTGCTGATTTGATAAGTGTCCTAACACTCTTTAGTTTTTATATTTCTTATTTATTCGTGTAAAGAGACAGAATATAACCAGATAAATACATACACCAGGGAAAAAGCTGATTTTAGATTAGGCGGTATTGTGGCTCCCAGATATTTCTGACTTCAGTGATTTACAATCTGCACATCCTGGACTGGCTGCAAGACCATTAATAAGAAATTTGATGAGAAGCTGAAAACTGCTGCATTTATAAATGGAAGAACGACAGAATAGCCACCAAACGCCCTCCATCTGGAACTACATGCAAGACCTTGACCCCAGTTTGTCGACTTTTGGTGGATGATGGCTTCAGTTCATTGAAGGGCCAACATATTGGGCGTTTTTCAATCAGCCAGATGAGCAGAAGACCAGACCTGCTGAGCCTTAAAGAAAATTAGCAGCTGAAGGTTTAGGAACAAAACAAAATCCGTCCGTTGATGATTCCAAACCTGCTGAACATTTTACCACCAACAAAAGTCGCCCAACCACGTTCTGTTTTCTGCTCTTTGTTTTTCTCACCATCGTCTTTGTTAACGGACTAGTTAGTCATTTTTTGCATCAGAACAAAATATGGCTACAGTTTGTCTAATTACTTTATTATCTGCCTAACTAGTTTGACTTTTCTTTAAAATTTCCTCTAGAAAATGAGAGACATTTTAACTGCTTAATGACTGACTTTTTCAATGTTTCTACATTTATTTGACCAGTTTTGTTCTTCAAAACCTTCATGTTTGTTGTCAGCTATCCATTAAAAGAAATACTACATCCATGATCGATTTGCAGGAGTCTGTTCAATAATGCTTCAGTTTTATGCTGAAGACTCTTCTTCCCTTCTTTCAGAGGGAACAGGAAATGAGAGTGGGTGAGCTGGGCCCTCGTGGAGCCGGTAATATGGGAGGTACGGGCATGACTGTAGATAAAATATCTTTGTGTTTCAACTTTGTAGAGTTACAGTAGGAACATTTTAAAAGTATGTACAAAGGAAACAATATATTTATTGTTTCCTTTTAAAATCAGGGAGCAAAAGATTAAAAGGCATCTCTCTCTCTTTATTTTACAAATTATTAGCAAAGATGTGGATTGTCATAATTCCAATAAAGTAAAAGCTTAAGACATTTGTGCATTTAATTTGTTTTGGAGTAATTAGATGCACAATAACAGAGAAGAAGTATAATTTTTTTCAAAATAAATTGGTCAGAAGAGAATGTAAAAACGCAGGATTGCACATCATCTTTATAAAGGCATCTGTCATATTATGTATGTATATTTTTCTCAAAGTCTGCAGGCGCTTCAAGGTTTATCTTGTTTGAAATGTTTTTGTCTCATTTTCTTGTTCAACACAAGTTCAGCTGTCAGAATATTTTTACATATCACACCTAAAACCCTCACAAGTATAAAATGGGTTTTCTTGTTGTTCCAATACAAGAAAAAGGTTATTTGTAAGTTTAAGAGTGATTAGCAGCTACTTTAATTGACAAGTTGCTGTTTCACATCTACAGTATCAGTTCTGGGCTATGAAACTGGTAAAATTATACAAATTCTACTAAATTACTACATTAAAGGGCCAGGTTGAGATTTCATTTTATTTTCTCTTTTCATATTTGTAACTGAGGAATCAGTCATGTTTTAAATCCGTGCTGTTTAGTTTCATCAGGTTTCGGAAAGCCTCTTTTCCACTATCGAGTATCGCTGTAGCTGGTTAATGTCTGGTTCAATTCTGGGGAAGTTGGGTATATCTCTGTGGCCGGTGTGTTCCTCTCTAATTGGCCTAGAGCGTGGAAAACTGTGGTTGACACTCCAATGTCATTTTGCCATTGTAACCTTAGTTTCTTGGAAGTCTCTCTGTATGTTTACTTGTGGATTGCCCTGTCCAGTTGGCGTCCAATTGATAAAAAGGTTTGACCATGGAAATATCAGTTTCCATCCCGCCAACTACTTTGGTCTCATCATCAATGGTGCTTCAGATGTTGTTGAAGAGTGTGCAAGTACTGCTTTGTTCATCCAGTATGTTTCAACTAGAAGGCTTTGAAGGGTTGGTGCTTCCAAAATTAACCAAATTGGCTTTTGAAAAGAGTTGGTGAAAGTACATCAATAACATAATCTGGAACTGCATAAGTTGACTTTACTCCACTGCTGTAGAGTAATTATCTTACATTTGCTTCTTTATCTGACTGTTGGTTTGCTTTGGTACCTTTAAACCATTTTACTACTCTTGTGTAGAATCCTCCTCGCCTGTTAATCGCCTCGCCACCTCTTGTTATTGCTCTCCTTTTCTGTTTTCCCAGTGGCTACTGTGATGTGCAATCCAGCGGTAAAATGCAGCATCTATAGCATTGGCATCACATCATATTGTTTTAAAGAACAGTTTACTTCTCACTCATTTTGATAATGTAGCTGAAGTCAACAATATAGTGTTTTATCAAATGTTTTCTTTTAAATTATAGGAGTTTTTAATGCCTATAATCTTGCACAAAGCGTTTTAGTTTGAACAAATTGTCACAGAAACACATGAAACAGTTTCAGACGAAACAGACAGATGAACCAATAATCCGTTGTTTTGCGTGTAGATGGGTTTAACCAGGCCTCTGGAGGGCCCAGTGGTAACCAGGGGCAAATGATGGGCGTGAGTGGAAGGGGAGGAGCCATTGCCCCAGAGGGAACGTCAAATATGGGGACACCTTTGATGTCAGAGAACGGAGCCATGGTAACGTATCTGAAAACGGCTTGTCTGTTCATTAGTATGATCGGGTTCAAAAACTTTAGAGGAGCTCTCAAATATTGGAACCAGTGTGGATAGTAGTATCTCTACTTCTCATGTAATCCACAAATCTAACCTTTGTGGAATAGATGCAAGAAAAAGTCCATTGCTGAAAGAAAGTCTAAAACTGTTAGCTCCATGTACAAGCCACCTAGGGGACAAAGCAAACATGTAGAAGAAGGTGATCTGGTCAGAGGGGACCAAAAGTGACAGCTGGCCAAAGGACAGACCTTGAAAAAGACATGAAACTGGGACAGAGGTTCACCATGATCCTAAACATCCAGGGAGAGCTGCAGGAGCATTTTCTGTTAGAATGCGTCAGCCAAAGCTAAATCTAGTTGGAGAATTTCTGGATAGATAGACTGATATTCAGACGATGTCCATAAAATGGCATCACGCAGTCTGAGATATTCTGTAAAATGTTACGTTTCTGAGGAAACTAGAAGATGACAAACTGTGATTGTATAAAGATTTGAGTCAGAGTACATTTACAATTACATGCTACTTTTTGTTAATTGAAGAGAACATCTTACACTAAAGTTTCTGCTGGTAAATGTGAAATGTTTGAGGCAGTGGTAGTTCTGCAAAACACTTTTGATTTAAAAGTAGAAGCCATTTATCAAAACTAAAAGTCTTGAAGGAAATGTTAAGTCTTTTTCACTAATCGTCTTTTTGTTTTCTCTTTTCTCTTCGGGGTCACCTTTCTTTTTTTCCCCTTTTGCACCTGGATGGTGACCATTGGATCAAAACTCAACCTTGACTGAACTTTGACCTACCTTGACTGAAAATACCTCTGCGACCCTCACCACCATTTGGACCAACTGGATTTGTGACTCCTTACAATTGTTGTTTGAATCTCGTTGCCCTCAGCGTAACGATAGGTATCCTCAGGGCGGATCAATGGGCGGTCGATCGGAGGTCGAGTCCCCAAAGCAACAGCAGCAGCCATTGGGGCCGCAGGGTGGACCAGCCCCCGGATATAGCAGAGGCAGTCCAAGTCCAGGAGTCTTTGACGGCCCAAATAGCAAACGCCGCCGATACTAAAGTCTCTCGGTTCTCATATGGATCAGCAGTCAGTGCAATTTTTTCTTTTTCTACATAAGACCTCGAGGTTACCCATCACCATCATGACTCCAATTTTTTGAACAACAGTGGCATGTTTTTGTCCGTTTGTGGATTGACTTTTTGATTGATCTGCTAGTTTTTAGAAGGTTTGGATGAAAGTCTTTGAACTTGTTGTTGCAAACACATTTTGGAAATTATAATATATATTTTTTGGTTTGTGAATATGCAAACAGTTTTGAGTTGGAATATAGCCTCACTTACTTTCTAAGGTGGATTATATTAAAGGTTCAGACTTTGTGCTTTATTATTCTCCACCTGTCAAATAGATGTTTGCTAAGCAAAAGCACAGGAGGTTGATTAACTCACTAATTTCTCCTGTAAGTCTGGCCAATATTTGTGCAGGCCCACCTGCTAGTAAACTTTAATCATGTCATTAAAAAGGAAACTAAACAAGATCCAAGAAAAAACAGGTTAAAGAAACAGGTGCTGGTCATTTCAAACCCTTTTCCATTTTATTTTTAATATTAAAGAGTTACAATATTGTTCTGTCCATGCTCACATCGTTCCTGGCACTCGTAGTCTCACTTCCTAGCAAAAGTACATTTGCCACGAAGTGAATATGCACTGATTAAAACAACGTTTAAGGGTTTATATTTCAAAATATGGACCATAGGTTTCAGTGGAAGTCTACGTCAACACATTGACATTTTTTGTGCATATCCTTGTCTTGATGTTTGGAATATACATTTTATCCAAGAAGCTTTTACTACATCAGCAACAAATGAGTTTGCTGGCCTTCTAGTTTTATGCATAACTTACAAAATCTTAAAAAAAAAAAAGAAAGTAAAATGAAATTATGAGTAAAATTAAAGATTTTTAGCAGTATTTGCGTTCAGATTTGTAAAAAAAGAAAATAAACTTAAAGAAATCAACGGCTTCCACAGTGAAAACTGGAAGTAGAATTAGCAACCTGGCAAAGAGGTGAATTGGTACCTTAAGAATATTCTGTTTTATGAACATTTCTTATCAGCTTTTGGACAGCAACATTTTTAAACTTGAATGAAAATGTTTTTCATTTAAAACGAAGCGTATTGTTGGGCTTTGGTGCTTTTTTAAAATTTGGTTTGTTTACATAATGTGGAGTCTGCAAGATTTTTTTTATCGGTCAACTTTACACCTCCTGCCGCTGGTCTGAATAGATTTTTTAAATAAATAAGTGGTTTTTCTTAACTGTTGATAAGAATAATTACTTGTAACAGAAATACGGTGTGTTGTGCTATTGTTATGGAGATTGTACAGTTGCACAATTACAAAGCGAGAGCATATTTGCTTTATGAATGAAAGAAGCCACATGTACAGTCACTAAGTAGTCACAGCTTTATTTACCTTTAGTGATTTTGTTTATCCAGTGCAATGATTGCAACATCTTGAAATCGTCAGAAGTTGCTGTGGGTTAGAAATCTTGCAATTAAAAGGTTTTAAAGCGGCTATTTTGTTTTAAAGTATTTGTGTTTGTTACTTTCTGAACCTTTTCCATAAGAATGAGTACTGTGAAATCCTCCTTTTATTTAGTTTTTTGGACTTTATTTCTCCTTATTTTTTGCTCAGAACTACAGAAAATGTTCTGTAGCTTTTGTGCATCTTGTATTTGATGGTCAAGAGAAATAAAATTTTTCGTCTTTATTTAAACAAACTGGGTTTTTGTATTTTAAATCTGATGAACAATAAATATCATATCCATATTTAAATGTTTGATTGCAAAGCATCACTTCTAGTATTTTTATCTTATTTTGTGTAATTATTATAATAAATTAGCTCATTGTGTGTGAATGTGTGGACTGCAGCTAAATAAGTCATTTTAAGCTTTTGGTTTCTGGGTTTTATATTTTTTTAATTTTTGTTTTTTTAAAATGTTCTTTGTGCATCATAGACTGGTGAGAAGATTTGACGATAACACAAGTTTTTTTGTTAACTTCATTCGAGTGAATTAATATTATTGCTGCAAACTAATCCCTTGCGTTTTAATTGTGACAAACATTTTTGTTAGCTTGAAGTATTGGTTAAAGTTTTGTTTTTGCAGGAAGTGTGAGGATAAACAGCAAAAGAGTGCTGCAGAACTATTTTCTTTGTTTCCTGTTAGTTTTTTGTTTTGTTTTTGGTGGAGGGAGGAGGTCTAGGAAATTTGAAAGGCTGACATAACACCTGTTACGAACATACAGGAGTCTTTATGAATGTTTTCTTCAAGAGTCTTTTGGTAAATAATGACACTTTTAATTCAAATTTGCATAAAAAGTTGCATTCCAAGTGTCAACTTAGCAATTTTTGGGAAATAACTAGTTCTATGCAAAATGAAAACTTACACTAAAAGTAAATTAAAAGTCATTATTTACTGAATGACACTTCATAACAGTAGTCGTAAACATTCATGAAGGCTTCTTGACGTGTTATTTTAGTATTATGCACAAATGGGAGAAAATGGGAAAAGAGTGAGATCCAAATATCCTCCAAATGTAACTTCTGTCAACTAAACATAGTTTGTTGAAGATCTGCAACGTTTCAGGACAAAAATGATCAGATCACGTAAGGGTAAGGGTTGCTAGTAAATATTTTCTATTGTTTCTGTTGAAATTTGTGATGCTAAACCTGAAAATCAGTAAAGACCCAATAATTTAAAGTACTAGATGTTCTCTCTGTTTAGACTGAAAACAGGATGTTGGCAGACTCTCCGCTTTGGTTTTTAGTGTATTAACATCCAGACCTGGAAGAGGATTTAGCTTTTTAATGTCTGGAACGTTTTTATTTTTTCCGTCCAGCTTAAATATATCTGAACATCTGGTGACTGGATCTCTCTTTCCTGCTCTTAAAAAAAGCTTTCCCTGTGTTTTGGGTCATTTTGCATCATTGCTTTGAATCACCTGATAATACAAATTCTTTAGTTGCTCTCATTTGTAAACTGGCACTGTCTCTTTAAGAGGTTTTGCCATCAATGTATTGAATATTATGGTTTAAGCAGTCGCCACTGAGTGTGATTATTGTGTGGATTTAAAATGATTTAGGTCATCCAGTCGGACTCATTGAAATTATTTATTTGCATATATTATAAACACATTTATTATTTAGTGTTTTGCACCAGGCAGGTGGGGATTTTGAGTATGTGAGCAGTTTTATTCATACTTTAAACTTTTGTTCGACTCAGTTTGCTTGACTTCAAGTGAAGTTGAAATGTTTAAATATTAAAAGTTTCTTACCAAGGAAAATACATAATTAGATTTTCATAAAAACCTTTTTGCTCTAAATTTATTAAACATTAATTTCAGCTGAAGTAGAACATTGTGATAACAGGAAATTACTTTGTCATGTTTTGAATGTAACATTGGGATTTCACCCACTGTTTTCTTGTCACTTGTTTTTGCATGCATTTACCAATACTCTGTTAAATTGGTGATTGATTTTTATAAAGCTGCAATTGTCCTTGTCTGCTGCAGGTTCTGTGTGCCTGATGTTACTGGTGCTGCAGCCATGGAACTGGTAAATTTTTGCTTACACACACACATTTATATTTTTAGACTGGATTTTACTAGTACAGAACCTTAAAGTTGAAGTTTGTAACTTTCAGGTCCATAAACAAAAAAATTCTTAGGAGTTTAGTTGCACTAATTGCTCCAATAATCATCAAAACCACAAAGATTTCCTAAAAGAAACGTACAAGTGTTAAGGATGTTTGTTTTACTTTATTTATTTCAAACTGGTTTTTAAAAACCGAGAACAAAATAATTAGTTTATCTACTTTTCTGTTTGAATCTTACCGCTTACCTCGATTTATTTTAATGTATCACTTAGTGACCCAATAATTATCAAAAATATGTAGTTAAAACCATGTTCTAATATTCATGTGCCTGTTCAATATACTGTCTATTATGCAGACAAAATGGTTACAAACTAACTCATAACAAGACAAGAAAATCTACGGATACTAATAATCAAAATCGTAAATAACAAGCGGACATCGTTGTAAGATATTGTGTGAGTTTTAAGATCTATTAGCCTACTTCATGTCGTCTGATAGCTTCTGGTTGAAATACTTCTACAGCTCTGGCAGCTAAGAAGAGATAATTTTATTTTTTATCCTGTAAAAAAAATTAAGTTATGTAAGTTTATCTTTCATATTTCTTTAAATGCGACAGAAACTAAAAAGAACAAATGGGTTTGGGGAAAATTGCTTTTTTCTGAGGATGCAGGTAAGGTTTATTTTTTTACTGGTTTCATTTGACACCAGAACGCTGTTTGGACCAAGCAGGACTTTGGACGTCGATGCTGAGGTGTTTTGTCTTTGATTATTAAATTAATTGTATTGCTTCTCTGCTGAATAAAATTAATAAAAACATTATGTATTGTAGTGCTTATTTTTTATATTTAATCTTAATTTCTTCTCGCTGGACTTTGGTTTATTTACACAAAGGGCTAATTCATGTTGGAAGCAGCAGCCACATGTGAAACATCACGTTTCCTTCTGACCTTTAAAGAACCTCCTGGGTCAAACTGACGCGTCAAAGGAGGAGAAGAAGACGGAGGGATGGTTGGAGACGTGAAGGGGGACGTGTTACTTTTCTTCGCCATGCCCAAGGCTGTTCATTACCAACAGAAGGGGAGCTAATCATTGAAGTGATCCAGTTTAACGTGGGGAATGAATGAATACTTCTGTGTTCTTCACTTTGTGGCCTCGTTTTTCTTTAGCCCACTTTCTGGCCCACTTCTGTTTATGAAAGAAGATTGGTTTGTTTTGCTGTTCAACCAAAGTACAAAGCAGCTCGTTGTAAAAGTCTTTCTGAAATATTTTAAAAATGGAAACTTTTCTGATGTTGCCTTTTTAAAGACTGGCCTACTTTCTAATTAGTGCTGTAGATTTCACATTTAGTCATATTTTCGATGTCTGCACATTTTCTGTACCAAACCAGCACTACAAGACATTGCTAAATATATTTCTATTGATTACATATCAGCAACATAAGATAATCGATTATTAATATAATAATTGACATTAAAGTCAATTGCTTCAGTTATTTTGACTGAAGCAAAAATAACCAAAATTATTTTTGCTTCTTTAGTTTTTTAAAGTTTTTTGTGTAAATGACCCACATGAGATGTATGAAAGATTGTAAAGTGAAAGTAGAGCCGTTGTCGATGTCAGAAAATGTTTAAGTCATCTCAGAAAAGAAGAAAAACAAGGACATTTCTGGAGGTCCAAAATTTTAGAGAAGAAACTCAGAAATTGTTAGATTAATCTCTGAGAACATTTAGACAAGAAAAATTAGGAATTGTATTAAAAAAATAGCAAATGTTTAACCTTGAAGTTTGAAAAAATTGCGACTTGTGGAAATATGAGTTTCAAAAGTTGAAATTAAGTTCAGAAATGTAAACGTTTTATCTGTAAATGTCTGAGATTAAAATTTGTGAATTTTATGTAGATTATTGACTCTTTTTTTATCTTCTATGTGCGTTGTGGTATGAAAAATATTTGTGTTATAGTTTACAGTGGGGTCTCTTCTGGCCTTTTGGCTTCTAATTCTTGTTCCCTGTCTGTGTTTTGTGTATGTTTCACATAAAATCCAAATAAAAACAAACTTATTGCGTTAAGGTCACACAATGAGAAAATTTTGGAGCATTTTCGTTTATAGGCATGTTCCCCACTTTTCCTCCCATCGATAATTGTTTTCTCATGTGTGAGTGTAGATTGAAACCCAGTAGCTCCAATCTGATTATCGGCTATTTGAATGGGCTGGTTTAGGTAAAAATAGTGGAGACCTATTTTTTGCAGCGCGCCGCGCCGTGCGTAAAGACGCATTAAGAATTGGCACAGCGGCTGTTAATCCAAACAGGAGCTGCTTGTGGTTACAGCTCAGTCTCTCACTGATGGCGCTTTGGGAGGAAGGACGTCAGCTGTGTTGCTTTTGCCTTTAACTTTATTGATGAAGTTCATCACATTCTCGGTTTTTCTACGTGTTTTTGTTTCAGTTGGTTTCTGCTGAAATGTCTGGCGCGTTGACAACACGGAGGTTCTTAATGGGATTTCTCTCCCCGCTGCGTCACCTCAGGACAGCTGGACACTGAGGCGTTGGGACTGGATGGATAACATGTCTCCGCAGCAGCAGCAGGACGGCCTGCGCCGCGCCGGACAGCAGGACAACAAACGGGTGAGATTCCCCCCGTTTTCCAGCCTGGGGAGTTTAAAACTCATGTATTGTGGCGCCACTTGGCTTCCACATACATGAGTTGTATCTGTTGTGACGGAGGGTAGGTTAGAGTTCAGGACTTTCACTGAAGTGATACCAGGATCTACTAGGAACTGCGTTAGGTTCGGGCTGTTGCGCAATTTGGAGAGGTCAGGGTATTTGTACTTCCTGAATCTGGGGCTGACTGTTTTGTCAACACAAACTTTCATCTCTTTGATTGTGAACAAAAAGTTAGAGATCACAACTGGAATAAAAATTAAATCCAAACCCTCTAAAAATGTTTACAATTTATTAGTTCAAACACCAAATATATGTTTTTTTTCTTTATAAGCTGTCTTAGCATTAGGAGCTAACATTCACATTTTATTGCTATTAATTTCGTATGATGGTAATAATTTTCATTTATTGTTGTTATAATAAATTCCAGTTAATATTTAAAACCCCAAAAACTCCCCCTGTGTGGGGATAATTTTTGTGTTTTCTTCACTGTATGTTCAATGAAAGCATCAATAATTCAGAAAATAGGATAAAATCCAATTACAATTTAAAATTTAATAATTGAAATCATTAAACCGCTTCTTTATATAATTGATGTTTTACAAATAGGAATGTTTTTCAAGAGCAGTGTTTGGGAGCATTAAAAATTACAATAGTACCACAAACTATTGTGATAAAACTTTTATCTTGATTCCGGTTTTGGGGTTTCAGCCAATTGGCACCAAAGACAAACACTGGATGTATCAACTAGCATCAGACCTACATATTTTTGTTTTCCAAGTTGATTTTTTTTTTTGTCAAATAATTTAGATAAATATGGAAAAAATGTTAATTTTATTGAATAATTTGGAGTCACATCCCACAATAACATACCTGTGAGGTGGAACCAAGACAATGCACAATTTTTCCAATAAAAATCCAATATTTGGCATCAGTTTGTTTCCTATAATAGGATGCAGACGTCGCCTCATTATTGAAGACTTCAGAAATTTGAGCCGTAATGAGAAAACCATAAAAAATTCAGAATTTAGAGACTACCCCAATTGATGTATTGAAACGATTTGAATTATTATATAAGTTTAATTCAGTTTTATTTAAATGTTAATTACAGTTTTGAGGCAATTTGCTAAGAAATAGGCTCAGCTTAGATCTATTTATGTAAGATTCAGTTCTGACCAATCAGATTCAGTATCAAAACTACTTTCTTATAGTTCAGTCAGAACTTATTGATACATTTTAATAAAGTTTAAAGGTTTGCAGTGAATCCTCCCCGGTTAGCATCGAACCTTTTTGGTTTTACTTCCATGAGTAGTGTGATGTTTGGATAGCAAACACGTTTTCTCTGAGAACTACTGCACCTTTTCCATTTCTCAGAGCATCAAGATATGTGAACTACACATAATAAATAAAGGCTTTTTATAGGATTCTATCCTGGTTGCTAAAATGAGGAACCATTTCAGTTTCCTGGCAGAAGACAGCATATTTTTATTGAAAACATTTTTAAAAATTTAAATAACTTTTAGAGGTGTTACTTCCTGACAGGTAGACTGCCTGCAGCATCACAGATCCTCTGCTGTACCTTAGCTGCTTTTAAACATATCCATCATTCAGTGTTGGTTGTTAAACAAAAAAAAAACTGATCTAGAATCAGTTAATGTTTCTGTGGCAGGAATATATTGGGCTATATTTATTTGTGAAAGCGAACATTGTGATGCTGTGGCTGGAACATTAGGAATGTTTCACCACTCTGCGACCGAGTGAAGCGACAGAAACGTGTGGATGTGACTGTCAGTTCAGAGGATTTAGAGTTTACCTTGTATTTTCTCTGCTGTTGGACTTGTTAACTTTAGAGTCATTTTTTAGTTTAGAAAACAGTCTTAACTCCACGTTTTCACGGAGACGTTCACGGCTGTGATTGAACAAACCTGAAAACACGTCCATTCGCCTTGTTTTACTTACTAACATAATCCAAACTTGCAGAACTGACTCCATATTTGAGGGAAGTTACTTTTGTTCTCTTCTAAATCAATCAGAAATGTCACTGATATGCAAAGGTTTGTCTTCATCTTTTCCACCTTTTCTCATTTTAAAACTTACATGTTTTATTTGTAACACAAAGTGGTTTATGGCTGCAGAGTGTAAGAAAAAAATGAATCATGGTTTCTGAAAAGTGGGGCAAGTATTAGTTTGAACCGTTTACATTGTGTCTATTTGTGACATAAAGTCTCAATGAGATTCTTATTGGTCGTAACGTGACAAAATGTCACCGGGGGGTGAACAGTTTCCCAAGGCGGCGTGCATCAGTTCTGCATCAGGCGATCACCAGTAAGTGGGTTAATCTGATGTACAATGAAAGAAACTATGGTTACGTAACGGCTGTTTGTTCCCCCTGCTTTAGTCTCTCAAAGCCTTTCACAATTAGATTAAATGAAACTTATTGATCCCTGTAAGGACAGAAAGATAATAGGATACCAGTATGGTTGCCAGCCGCAGCAGCTGGCCTTCAACGCAGCAACAATGTGGAAATATGTAAAAGTTCAGTCAGATGACCGGATGTTTTGTTTTGCTTTTAACTACAGCTACTGCTGTGTGAAGATGGAATTTCATGCATTATATGAAAGAAAAAGAAAACAATTTCACAAGTAATTTAACCTTTAAATGCTTAACAAAACAAAACATACAATTTTTGTCCTACTATACAGAACCAGAATCAATTCAATCCTCATCTGTACGATGCAATTGTGTCATATTTACATCCTGTTTTCATCTAAAGCTAAGGAAGTCCAGCCTATTTGTTGTCTTAGCGATAGCACTTAATCCTGGGGCGACAGTGGAGAGAAACAACAGAGTTGTTGGGAGGAGAAATATCCAAACAATGAGGCTGGCATGCCTTCAATGGGAAGAACAAAGCCAACATTTCTATCAACATGTATTTATTTCCCAGCCATTCCTCTCTGTTTGACTCCCGTGTTTATTTGTTTTTTTAAAACAGAATTACCGGCGTCAGTCTGCCCCGTCGCTGGTCATCACCAAGGCTCTCACCAGGTCCAAAACTTTCTCCAGGTACCCTCAAAGTTACCACTTCTGTCGTTTGGTTCTCTTAGGCTCCGTTCACACTGCTGCCTGATATGAATTAATTCGTTTTTTTTGTCAATTCAATTATTTTGCCTAGTTGTTCACACTTTCAAATATATGTGTGTATGTGAACAGGTGTTCACTCTGCAGAAAACCTCTGCAGAGTGAACCTGTGAACTAATAAATGCAGGGAGTGCGCATGCGCATCAAGATGTGCGCAAAATTGATGAGCAGTCAGTACAGCATGTGCCACAAGATACCACAAAATAATTATTTTCAGTGATAACCAGAGGTACATATATGCACTGTGTGATTTCAAAGTGTTTTTAAAGCAGGACGTAGCTTTAGCTACAGTTAGCTACAAGCCAAGCCCGGATGAAACTCTTGATGATGGTCTGACTAGCTAACCGCTAATTCGGGATGTCATACAACTGTTCATAAAGTGTATGAAGATTTAACTTCTACGTCGTTTGTTGATTAAATAAAAATTCCAGTGTCTGACAGATATAGCCGTCAGTTTGTGCTACACGTATGACGTTCTGACTTATGCTGATCTGACAGAACGGGAAACAAATTGAAAGTGTTGCGCATGCGTAGTAGAGTGCGCGACGACGTCACGCGTAGAGCGCGTGCGCAGTGTTTCACCAACCGCCATAAAGAAGTGCCCCGCGTTAGCGTAAGTAAACCTGTATGCTAACTGTTTTAACAATTTTATTTATGATTTTAAAGTTTTTCTCTGATTATATTAAGAACTTAATACTAATTATCGTCTGCCATGGTTGTTGTTTTTCCTCCCGCTTGCGCGGGTTTGTGATATTTGTCGAGTATAAATGATGTTCAGGTGGAAGAATGCATTAAGGGGAATTTGGTCACTTCCGGCTGCAGTGTGAACGCAGCTGTAGCTTATTTAGAGGAAGAAAATGATTACCTCTCGTTAAGGCCGCCTACAAGCCTCAAATAGTTTATTAAAAGAAATAGATAAAATTCAATATTAAGCGCTAAGAATTTGCTGCGGTGCAATAAAAACAACACCATTATCAGCAATACAATTGTTTAGAAGAAAGCAATTAGCGGTAGTTTTTTGGGCAAATATAAGAAGACATAAAAAAAGTTACCCTATCAATAATATTTTACAACCTTGCCAAGAAATATAAATAGTTTTGGCTGGATAATAGATAGATAAATAGATGAAATGGGATTAGATCAATGTTTAATTAGTCCAGTGATGGGTATTCCGTATACTGCGCCTTGGATATATAGGGAAACAAGTTGATTTAAGGTTATTGGAAGAAGGTAGACAAATAGAAAAGGAAGAGGTGGAAGGTTATATAAGAAGGGAATATGGTGAACACATGCAAATATATACAGATGCTTCAAAAATGTTGAATGATAGAATAGGAGTAGCATTTATAGTTCCTGATTTAGACATTATGGAAAATAAAAGAATAACGGATAGACTGAATGTATATACGAGTGAGTTAATGGCTATTTCAATGGCATTAAAGTGGAGTGAGGAATTGAGTAGAAAGAAGGTTTTGAGTTGCTCTGACTCGAGTAGTGCATTGATAAGCAAGACAGGACATTCTGATGCATATTAATAAGTCAATTCATAAAATGGGAAAAAATGGATCCAGTGTCAAATTTATTTGGATTCCTGCTCATGTCGGTATAATAGGAAATGAATTGGCGGATAAATTTGCTAAGAGTGTGACTAAAAGGGATAATGTTGAACTTAAAATTAAGTTTAGCAAAAATGAGATCAGAAATATAAGTAAAGTGTACAACAAGAAGAAATGGTAGGAACAATGGGAGAGTGAAAGGAAGGCAAGATTTTATTATAGTATTCCAAAAAAAGTTGGGGAATGTAGAAAAGAGAATAGGAGTAAAAAAAGAGGAGGATATTATATCTAGGTTAAGATTTGGACATACGGGGTTAAATCGCACCTTGAGAATAATTAATAAGCACAGTACGGGGTTGTGTAGTTATTGTGGGAATTCAGAAACAGTTCAACATATTTTTTTGGAATGTACTAATTATAATCAGGAAAGAGGGGAATTAATTAAAGAGTTAAATAGAGATAAAGTCAAATTAGATATTAGGGACTTATTACAAAAATCGTCCGGGGATGTGGTTTTTAGCTATGTTTAGATTTCTTAGAAGCACAGGTATTTTGGGGAGGTTATAGAGACTATACATCTGGTCCATACTCCAGTCTAGAAGGTGGCGGTAATGCACCTAAAAGTTGTTTGCCAACCGCCATTAAACAAGAAGGCCGCCTACAGATCTGAATTGGTGTAATAGGCCTTTGCGCTCTGATTAACGCACACACACGTGCAGAGTTTGAAATGACTCTCACACCTTTGAGTAAAGTGTTTAGATCCACTGTAATTGATAATCCTGCTGTTGACAAGCTTATCTAAGGATCAGGCGCCTATTAATAGAGAGCAGCTTTGGACATACGGAGTGTGAATGTGAAGAATAAGTAACTTAATTAAAATGCTCCTGCTGAATTAACCAATCAGAGACCAATTAGGTGTAGAAATCTTCAATGAAACTCAGTTTATATTCTAATTCATTGTATGAATGAGTTTTATATTAATTATTATGCTTCAAACTAATTCCTTAAACCCTTTTACTTATTCTTGCTTTCCGCCAAAGTGCTACGCTAGACAATTCAGTTTATAGGTAAGGTTAGCAAACGGCATTAGTGTTGTTAGGACAAATAAAACCAAAGTAGGTGGTTACCCATAATGCACAGCAGCAAATGTTATATTACAAAGGGGGTGGAGTAGTAAGCAAAATATTTTAGAGTAATTATTCATTGTTGATTAATCATAGATTTGAACACATTGATTTTGCATTTGGCTTTGTAGATTTGATTCATTTTCAAATAATTTAAGAACCTATGAAAGACAGATCGGAGTCGGTGGCTACAGTATTGATTTTAAAGAACTGATCACAGAAGGGATTTATATGAGAAACTGAAGTAGCAGGAAGTAGGGATTGAACGACATACTGGCACTGATTTTCTTTCTTTTTGTTGATCATCCAAAAATACTTACATGTGAAGATAAGAATGTACTTCTCAAAGGTCTTGACATCAACCACCTTCCTCTTTTGCTCTCCAGTGAGAGATGTTTGACCTCTAGCCCCGTCCAAGCATGTAGGAAACAAAATTTTTCTACATGCGTGATACACTGCATGCATGAACAGTAACAAACAGTGACAGCAAAACACATTTAGGGCCTATATAACATTTTTTTTCTGTCACAAATGGATCAATTATGTACAGATGACAATAAAAAAAAAATTGCATCCTACTTCTGTTTCACCATGCATAAAAGTCGCTTCTGTTCCACTCACAGTCAGCAATATTCACCCAACTGTTACCAACTCAGTGACTTTCTTGCTATATTTAGCAGCATTTAACATTTTTAGCAACAAAAAAAAGGTTTTGGGCAAAATCAGAATCAACAGGTTGAAGATTGGTGATTGCAGAACGGGTTACTGCTACCATGAAGGACTCACTTTCTCCACAGTTCATGACATGAGTTTCTTTTTGTCCTCATTTCAGAGAAAGCGTCTCGTTCCTCGCATGTCCAGAAACCTGTCCTCTCGTCCGGTCCTTCCTGACCGGCTCTGATAGGTTCTTCCTCCTTTACGGACACGCCCAGCTGAAGACGGGCATGCAGACCCAAGACCGGCACCTCTTCCTCTTCAGTGATGTTTTGGTGATCGCAAAAGCCAAGTAAGCACCAGCAGCTAGTGTGCCTTTTTGTGTGTTTTGTGGCATCGATCAGCATGTGTGACATCCGTTTCTTCAGATCAGCGAACAACTTCAAGCAGAAAGTCCAGGTGCGCGTGTGTGAGATGTGGACGGCAGGCTGTACTGATGAAGTGTGTGAGGGAAGCACGGATCCGGAGCGGAGCTTCGTCATGGGCTGGCCCACCTGGAACTGCGTGGCTCTGTTTAGGTAACACACATTTACATCGAAAACCAAAGATGCAAACGTTTATGGTGTCAACACAGATTCTGTAGATGAAGACAAACAGAGGAGCTCATCAGAATTTGGGTCAGAGCTGCACACGCCGTGTTTACGTTTCAACAAACCAAATATGCTGGTGATGCTGCAAAGCGCACCTTAAATGTCAAAGATACACAGAGCAGACAGGATGAAGAACGAACACAGCAGCCTATAAAACCACAAATAACCCAGCTGGGAAGGAGAACCGCCTGTTCTGACTGAACCGAACCGGACTGCTGTCCATAAAGTTCCTGTTAGGGACACAAACGCCTCACAACAGTCCTCTAAATCAGCTGCGCTTGTGGCATCATGTTTCTATTCTTTCTTTCTATGGGTATTTGAACCCACAACCCTGGAGAGGATTAGGGCCAAAATTGTGGCTTTTTTTCTTATAATTTAAATTTTCAAATAAATGTTTAGTTATGTCTCAATTATGCTGCACTTGATCCAGACTGTCCAAAATGTTTTGAGTTTTAAACTAGATTTTTCTGATGATGTTTAAACAATTTTATTTCTAAGAAAAATGTCTGAATTGTGGCCCAAACTGTCTTCTGTAGGACGTGAAACTGTATCACAATAAAAATGTTAAAGTGATGGAAAAAGAGCAAAATTTTTACTTTTCTTTCAGTGCAATGACCGACGGTAGTGCAATGACCGACGGTACTTCTGGATGAACATTTCTGTCAATATTTGTGTTTAAGTTCTTCATACTTTCTTCTAGCTCAGCTGAACAGAAGGATAGATGGCTTTCACTCCTCAAGAGGTGAAATACGTTGACCGAGCATTGATTGATCTTTTATTTATCCGCAGATATGATCGGGTTTTTAATCGATTTGTTTTTTGTGTGCAGTCGGATAAAAGAAGAGAAAGAGAAGGAGGAGCCAAAGACGATTCCTCTGAGAGTTTACGGAAAGGGGCTGAACACCTTTGCCATCGTGAGTTTGAACCCGGCAGCAGAATGTAACGCCTCAACGATCAGTAGGCTGATCCTCTCCTGACCTCTCTGATCAGACCAAGACACTTCCTGTCAGCAACTGGGACTCGGCCAATGAGGTGATCCGCCTGGCCTTGCAGCAGTTTGGCATCATAGTGAGTAAATCTAGAGATGCGGGTTCTGTCAGTCTGGATGCAAACAGAATGCATTTTTGTTGTTGTTGGACCTCAAACCTGCCACTGTTTATGTGTTGTTGTCAGGGAAACGTTAAAGACTTCCAGCTGTGGGTCGTCTCCAAGAGAGACAACACACCTTACCCTCTGATTGGTGAGCTACACACTCATTCAGATCCTTTGTTCTGAAACAGATTTCTGGTTTCAATAACTCCAATACAAACCATTTGTAATGAAACAGGAAATTATTTATTTTATTTTATTTTTTAAAGCTAGTTTCTGTAATTTCAAGTGTACTAAGAAATTCTCACTAAGTTTGTTAAGATTCAGTTTTGCAGTGTAGTTTTTTTCATTTCAGGTCATGAGTTTCCCTTCAGCATCCAGATGAGTCACGTGAAAAGCTCAGTGGTTCTGGGAGACGGCGGCAGGGACACCGCGGCGCCCCCTGCTGACCGACAGATGGCCATGCAGGTGGAACAAATGCAGGTGTACAAGCAGTGTCAGTTCATCCTGAAGCCCCGCCCTGCAGAACCCCCTCAGCACCACCCGCCTGCAGGTACGCCGTGTTTCTCAGCTTCCTGCTGGAGTTTTGTTGAAATTTAGAACAATGTTGAGAATTCTCTCTGGAACATTTCAGATTTCTCCCAGAAGTCGTTCAAAAGGCGCCGTTCGCTTGTTGGTTGGGCCTTCTGGAAAGGATCGGCGTCTCAGCTGAACCAGCCGGCGGCGGCCGAAGATGCTCCGGGCCGCTTGTTCGGCCGGTCGCTCAGCTCCATCTGCGTGGACGGCGCTCTACCCAAGCCGGTCATGGTGAGTCCAATACACACACACACGAGTGAAAAACTCCTCCTAAAGTCCAGTACTGAAGAATATTGAGACAACCAACCTTAAAAGTTGAAATAATTCTATTGATTTAATTGGACCAAAGTTGTTTCACACGTTCATCATATTGAGTAGTGGGTAACAGAGGCTATTTTCCCCTTCAATTCACCCAGAATGATAATATTTGGTTTAACATTTCGTTTTATTTTGTTATAAAATATAAAATTAATCTTATAAAGTTATGTTTTGCTTTATGTGTCACATTGAACATTGGCAGATCTCTGTTCTCCGATTCATTCAGATGCTGGTTCATAAAATTATAGTATTATGGAAATGTTTATTTCTGTCTATAATATATTATTCAAATATTTAATGGGGAGATGTGCTACCAGCCTGGCCTCTAACAGGTGAATTGAGTTTCCTAAATCTGCTGGGATTTACCCGATCCAGAACAGAAGTAAACTTGTTTAATCTGGTTTAGAGAAAGAATTCCCCTGACCTCTACGACCTACATCCAGATGTCCCACCCTTCTTCCCCCTGTGAATTAGCCAGACTGAGCAGCCGGCAGCCAACTAGTTTCACAGAGTACATCTGTTAACGGTCGCTCCTTCTCTTTATTACAACTTGCACTTCTTAAGGTTGGTTTTAGTGACTCTGGCGAGTCCCAAGGATGTTGTTTTAGATTTGGGCTTAAGCAACCTCTCAATCAAATTTTGTGTCTGTATAGCACATTTTAGCAGCAAGGCATTTCAAAGTGATTTACATCATAAACACAAATTCATGCATCATGGAATAAAGAATACATTCTTGCGTATTACATTTCAAATACAATCTAAAGAGGTGTGTTTTTAGTTGAGATTTAAAGGAAGTCAGGGTTTCTGCTGTTTCACAGTTTTCTGGAAGTTTACACAAAGTTTTTTCAATAACTTTGCTGATGAATGGGAGGTCGGCCTGTAATTCTGCAGTAGTGATTTGTCCAGATTGTTGTTCTTTTTTAGCAGTGGTTCGATGACTGCTGTTTTCAATGCTTGAGGGAAAACGCCTGATGTGAGTGAAGAGTTTACTATTTGGATCAGAAGCAATAACAGGCAGGACTTTCTTAAAGAAATGTGTGGGTAGGACATCCAGACAGCAGGAGCTTGAACTTAATTGGCTTATAATGTCTTCTAGGGTTTTATAAGTAAGTAGTTGAAAATGGGTCATTTTTTCTGTATTTGTTTTGTTTTGGTACAGCAATGGTTCTGGCTTTGAAGTTGATGTGCAGATTAATCCTCTGATTTTTTGAATTTTCTCTGAGAAGAAGCTGGAAACTTGTTACAGGCAGCATTAGATTGGAGTTCAGGTGGAAACGTCACAGGAGGGTTTGTGAGCCTGTCAACTGTTGCAAATAAAGTTTGAGCATTGTTGATGTTTTTGTTTATGGCATCTGCAAAGAAACCTCCCTTGCATGTTTTAGTGTTAGTTATATCTATTTTTCATACATGTCTGCTCTGCGACAGAGTTGTCTTGCATAACGAACTGCTTGTGCTTTTCTCCATGGAAATTTTTTCGTACCAGACACAATGGAATCAATGATATATGAAACTTTAGACTGAAAATCATCTAACAACTGATCTACATCATTACAGCTTAAGGGTGAGGAGGAAGAGTAGATTTGATTAAATGTTTCTGCTGTGTTTTCTGTGAAAGAACGTTTTGTGACAGTAGCTGTTTGTCCAAGTGGGTCAAAGAATAAAGAACCTTCAAAGATAACAGCAAAGTGATCCGACAGGGCGACATCAGTTACAGAGATATTGGAAATATTCACACCCTTACTGATAACCAGGTCCAGTGTGTGTCCTTGAGTCTGTGTTGCTTGCTTGACATGTTGTGTTAAACCAAAATTTTCTAAAACATTAAAGAGCTTTTTTGCTCCTCTGTCTTCAGGTTTTTACACATTAATGTTGAAATCACCAACAATCATAATAGAAGATCATTCAAGTCAGTAAAGAAATTTTCCACATATGTTGGAGTTTTGTATAAAGTTAGTGTCAAAGTTTGTTTGTAGCCTTTATCTTGAATTCCAAGATACTCAAAAGGTGAAATGACCCAAAGAAATTCTACTACAATTTATGGTTTTCTTAAATATAGAAGCCACGCCTCCTCCTTTTTTTTAGTTTTCTGTTCTCATTTCAAAAATTGTAGTCAGGAGGCGCTGATTCAATTAGTACAATTCAGTCATTCAACCATGTTTCAGTCAGAAACATAACATGATACTCAGTGATGAAATCATTAATTAATAGAGCTTTAGCACAGAGTGATCTGGTATTTAAAAGAGCTACTTTAAGTGGCTTGGAAGCAAAAAGATTTTCAGTCTGAGGTTTGAATTAGGACCGCTGTATTTCATAATTCTGTTTTTTGTAAATTGTCTTGTAATGATCCGGACAGGTAATGTCCTGTTCTGCAGAACCCGGGGGCCAGACACATTCTGGATGGAGACGGGTGTAAAGATAATATCTGGTCCCCGGCCTCAGAAACGCAGAGTGATGGATCCTCTGGAAATGTAGTGAGGTCTGCTACGTGAGTGTGAAGGAGAGACCTGTTGTTTCATTCCATCTGTAAATTTTAGACATGACCTATTTTTCTTCCCCAGAATCAAACATCACAGCTATTTTACTACCATCAAAGAACTTTGAGGCGACTCATTAATTGAATGTCCACAACATCTTTTAGATTTTTTTCATGCTGAATATTTTATTAGTAAAGCAATGTTGCAAGGGTCAGTACAGCTTAATGAAATAGCAGAAATAATCCAATAAGTAAAATGTATCATTTAGCCTCTCTTTCCCTGATGCTGATAGTAAGAACTAAAAAGGGAACCTTTAGAGAGACGGACAGAATTTGGTGTTTGGAATCCCAGAACTGGTCTGATGATGATGAAGGTGTTGCAGCAGCAGGAGGTTGATTGATGAAGGCAGGGATCTCTGTCGGTCTGATGATCTGTCATCTCTACATGGACGGTGAGGTCGCACAGGACTTGGCTCTTTGTCTTTGGGGTCTGAACCCAGCCGATGAGAGAAGTGTGATTTGAAGCCACATGTTGTTGATGGGTCGGTCCCCGTGTGCAGGACAGTGTTGGGCTCTGTGGCCCCGGCTCTTCTTCAGCTGCAGTTCTTTGTCCATCTCGGTTTTGACTCCAAGCTGCCTGG